CTTATGCAACGGCCAGTTGTACACTTTCTTCCGTAAAAGACCGATTTCAGTTAAGGGGACCAAAGTGCTTTTGTTCCACATGATGAGTTCAGATGGAGAAGTCCCAACACATCAGTGGCTGCGACCAGAGGCAATACCAGCTGCAGCTCTGTGCTGAACAAGCAGTCGTTTGTCATTAGTACTGATTCACAGGATAAAGCTATTTTTTAATATCGACCTTTCTGGAATGTGGATGTAGATTTGGACTGCGACATAATTGGCTCTGGGCGTAAATTTTTGACTAAGCGTACAAGCGAACCACGTGGTTGACAGCCAGAAAATAGTCTATCTCAGAAGAATTAAGCTGTACTGAAACATAGTACCGAAACCTCTGAGTGGTTCAAGTCATGCCGTGGATAGAAGACATACTGGAATTATCTTGAAACGGAACTCGGAAAACGGATGTCGGTGTAGCCGGTAACGCCAATGAAAGCGATTTTAGACGAATTGGCTGTTAGGAGATGGACACAGATAGAAATGGTGAGTTAGCTCGCGGCTAGAACCAGGGTCTAGGTCGATCAACAGAAAGCTTTCGAGTAGCCGGTACAATGAAAGCGATTTTAGACGAATTGGCTGTTAGGAGATGGACACAGATAGAAATGGTGAGTTAGCTCGCGGCTAGAACCAACCACTAGGTCGATCAACAGAAAGCTTTCGAGGCTACATCAGCTAAACATTTGGACTAGCTTGGATGTATTTTGTTCATAACATAATTCAATTTCTCTGACTTGTGAGTTGTATTTCTGGTTCCATACACTATTCACCCGCTCGGAGTGCATTTACTTAGGACAGTATCCTCAAACGTATTCGTACGGTCAAGTAGGTGTACGCGGCTGGACTGAGGTCACACAGCCATGCCCATTGCGATATCACCAGATCTGTAACTCCTGTAGCTTTTGTCAAAGGGGTCATAATTACCGCCAGAACACAGGGGAAATGTAAGTAATTCCCGTATTTAAAACCAGTAGTGAATGGAACCAGTAGCGCGGCTACTGAGAAGTGGCAAAAAGCAAGGCTACACCAGCGAGGGTTCCACGAATGTTCCTTGGGTGCCGTGAGAGACTGGTCACCACTTACAGAGCATGTGAACTGAACACCCACCATCCCTCATAAGGGTCTGAACATCATGTTCTGTAAATTTGTTTTGTGCGTTAAGGCAAGCTTCATCAATGCTCTCAGTGGCTTTTCAAGACAAACCCCGTACTCCCGGCTTAGTGAAGGATACAGGGACTGCCTACTCGGAAAGAGTCACCATAATGCCATCAGTCTGTAGAAGCATAATCTTCGCAATGCGTAGGTTCGGAGAAAGGTTCGGATACGAGAAAGGCAGTTTGGCTAGTCCGATTCAAAAAGTGATCGAGTTTGGCAAACGTGTGCTTCTCCTGTGCCAACGGAATTTTCAAGGCCTTTCCTCTCCATCAAGAGACTGGTTCTACCAAAGGTTAAAGCAGACGCGATCTGATTAATTGAGCTCCATTGGTTCTTAAGAACAGTCTGTGAAAAGTTCAGTGGCATTGGCTATCTCAGGAATGCAACCAGACACGCCGTCTTCAAGGGTACTCAAACAAAGGTAAGACACCCATCTGTTGGGTAAGCTGGCACAGACTGCTCCCCAGTACTCGTGTGTGAGATAGAGCACATGAGCCAAAGGTTAGTGAGAGTAGAATAACTGGCTCCACGATCATGATAAGTAATATATTCAACGACTTTCTAGATATACTTCTCCCTTCCAAAAAAACCAGAAGCGCACCCCAAGTTAGCTGTGGATATGCGAATATGCCGGAGGCTCTCCAAAGTTTCTTATGAAAAGTGGGGTCCGTTGGGGATACCTGCTCCCACCATTCCCGTTCATGTTCCTCAATGACACCATAATGGTGCGAACACTAGGTCTCGGAAATCCAAGAGTTTAAACTGTTGCCAACGAAAACCTGGTGAGTCTGGAGGGTGCGGAAGATATTAATCTTCGAAAAGTACGAAGCTCAAAGATCTCCATAAAAGCTAAGCTGGATAAATCTAGCTACTGTAAGTGTACTGTGCGTGCTAAAACCGTGCCTTGAAATCCAGAAGAATGCGGATTGTGGAACGCTTTGCGCATGTTTGAGACTGCAGGAAGCAATGACGAACGAACTACATGAGTCTCGGAAGTCCTGGTTACGTCCGCTGACCTGTACCATTTGTGATGACCAAACAGAAGTGCGCTTGGTCTTAAAGGTCGCATACATAAGGTTGCGGTGTGGGTGATTTTGCTGTATGGCAGCCAAACCTAGTCCCTGCGGGCAGGGGATGTAAAACAACTGCAAATAGCTCTGTTGGTTTCAACGGAGTCGCGTGATCGCGAAACGAATTCTCGGTTGTGCAGTAGGTTAATCCATTTTGGAGTATACCAAGAAAAGTAAATTAGGGTGGTCCTGTTATGCTTTATACATTCCAACTAACTGTCGATGAAAAATATTACCGTTTCCGAGCTTAACTCAGTAAAGTTGTCAAGGCAGACAGGTTGAAGAACGAAGGATTATCGATTCAATAGAAAATATCCTGAATGTGATTGTTGCTAGTCTAGTTCCAGGTTGACGTCTGCGTGACCCTCCTTGTTCCTAGCTGAACGGGCCTGAATTTATGATCGTCAACCAGAGTCAATGGCGTCTGCGCTGCCGGCCTCTATCCAGATCGTCTGATTGAACCCTTGAAGATGTAGGCATACCGAAATGTTTGGGTTAAGCTGCGATTCGGCCCTACCATTTTTCTATTTCATTCTTCTCACCTAATGGTTTGCATGATGATGGAAAGTTATGGCTATAGGGCAGTGCAGCGCCGGCAACAAGCATTAAATTTGATGCCGATGATTGTATGACGATGAATATAATATTGTTCGCACAAAAACAGCGAGTACAGTCTATAGCCTGTTCTGCTGAACTATTGCAAAAACGGTCTTTTTGCCAGGGAAAACAGCCAACACTAATTAAAAGCTTTTTAATCTTGTCTATCCTGGCAGATTCGTTCTGCAATGGCAAACACGAAGGTGGCAAATGAACTAGTATACCAGTTATGTACAGCGTTGGGCAGGATTCGAGACAAGGAGGGTAAATATGCATAGTAACTGCAATTCAACATTTGGTGCTTAATATCTAATATAACAATTATTGAAAAAAAATGGAACTCAAAGTCCCAGTATCCGCTGTGCATCTATAAGAACCGGATGGCGAGCAATGTGTCACTACCACATGCGCAACTACGCGCAGATAGCCGTTCTTCGCACAGTAATCCAAATTTTTATTTCAAAAGGCACACAAAATGGCACTTTTCATTGCTCTCAGCACATTGGCTCAGCACTGTGACTGAATTGTCATTCGCTGGGGTGACAATGATCTCCGGAAACCAAAGTCTTAAACAATAATGAATGGTTGAAAATCAATATAAATAATTTCATGAACTTCCACTGCTATCAAACCCACAAACTTTGAGTTGATGGACATCACTTAAAGCACCTTGCCATACAGCTGACTTTACCAGTAAGTGGTGTACAAGTAAGTGTAACAGAGTTCTTGTTGGGTAATTTTCTATATGGTTGTTTTGAAAATGTTTGGTGGACTTTTCGTCTTGAAATATATTTGAAAAAATGCCAATATTTCGTCTAGAATTGCCTATTGCTGAGAGGAAGGCGCCAACATAAATGCGACATGCATAACTGATGAACGTACTAACTGGTATTCGACAGCAGCAGCTGTTATAGTTAATTTCTTGATTGTTGAAACTCAAGACAGCTCGGTAGTTAGGGCGCAAACTTACTGACCGGAAGATTTGTGATTTGAATCTAACCTCGGCATATCGATTACCCCTGTAAAAGCTTGGGCAACCCGACAGTAGCTCGGATCTCATGCTTCCCTTCGAGCAGTACGACATTTATGCACTGAACGGGTGTTAGAGCTGACAGATCCATCGTGATTCTATGGTAACAATGAGTAGGTGAGTTTTTCCACATCAGGTGTCAGTCTACCACTTCCGCCATGCATTCCAGTAAACAAGGCCGAAGAAAATATAGGTGAACCGGTTTTGAAACTCGTGAACCTGTTGTTTTCAGCACACTTCTACTTTATTCCACATTGTGGTATGTGCGTACGCTTTTTAACCGACTGCTCAACAACAGAATATCTCCCCCAAAGCAGTTTCGTTACACGAACTACCGTACGGTGTTTCTTGTTCCTTTCAAACGACCACAGTTCATATCAGCAACGGTGATTACATACTGCCCAACAAGTCACACATACGCAAAAAACTGGGACAGTTTTGCAGGGATAGGTTCATTCTCATCAAAAATGTGAGATGGTATTGGGACTACCTGGGAGCACCTGGGAAAAGTCAACTGCCAGAAGGGCGCTGGCAGTGAGATACACGGGTGATCTAAGTGACGAACCGCAGATAGTTATAAGGAACTATTCGACACCTTACTGGCAGCACATCGATGCCAACAACAACACACGACAAAAAGTGCTACATACAACAGGGGACAATGTGCATGGACTGCCAATGAATCAGACCGGACACCACACTAAGCCGTTAACGTACCCTACTAAATAACCTTCTTCCGGGACGACGAATGTAAACAACGTATCTTACTAAATAACCTTCCGTGACGGCGAATGTAAACACTGACCGGTAGTTAGATGTATGCTTGTATGCTCAAATCTCAATCCACATTTACTTCGTGTCCTGTGAGAAAAACGAGGTCTGAGTCCGATAGGGAAGTTATCATCCCCTTTTAATTTAATGATTGTTTCAGTGAGGTGAAATTTGCAAGGTTCCCAAATATCCGTATTCTAATCTCCACCAGTGTGAATTTCTCTACCAAGGAATATACGGTGCAGGCATTACGAAGGTTGACGAGGGTTACCCCATTTTTCACAGCCAGTGGAAATTCGTGCTATGGGACTCACAGTCCTTGTACATGTTCTTTACAATTCCAGGAGACGGATGTTATGGAATACGTTACCCACCTCGAGGATTCTATGGGCTTCGGTTGCAATACATCAGATGGAGTCAGTGCACATATCTCAAAGGCCAGCATTGCGTTTGCCAATCTGCTCAAATCGTATCACCAATGCGCATGTCACTGGTCCCAAAAGGCACGTGTATAGGAAAAAGGCAAGGATAGTGTTATACCGCTGCAAGAGTTGGTTGATGCGGGCGGATAATTCCTGACATCCTCGGGTGCTACGCATACGAATCTGCAGTCTACCGAGGGCGTTGTTTTCCATGCATAATACGGGATACCGAAACGCCGGAAGGGAGTAGACTATGCCCCAACGGAAGGGATCTGTCACGAAGTGCCTCGGCACCATCTGCGCGATTCGCTGTTAAGAATGGAGCTCACGAAACCTTCCGTGTATTTGGTTGGAGACAGTGACAGTTATACTGGCCAGCCGATTTCAGTGGCACCAAAGCCGTTAATTTCCATCACGACTGTTTGACTTCATGCCGGAGGTATATGCACCTCGGACGTTTTTTGAGTTGATAACATGGCTCTTCATAAATTGACGGGGTAATAAGGCATCAGTGATTGGTGCTAGTGCTGCTCTCAGCGGCAAACTAAAGTGACAATAACCTATCGCCCAACAGGAAGTTTTTGTTCGAGCTAGCAGAAGTCTGCAGGCACTGCATCGTTTTGTGTACGGTGTACGCCCATCCTATTCAAAATCGACGGCAACCTACAAGCAGCAGGACAGTTGCTGAACAGCACAACCATCATGGTACGCTACTTCAAGGACCAGCTCTATCCACCCAAAACACAGTGAATTTTCACATACAGCTGGACGGCGATGGATGCGGAGGGCATCTATCCACCCAAAACGCAGTGACACCCAAAACGCAGTCACACACAGCTGGACGGCGATGGATGCGGAGGGCACCTCTTGTGGCAGATCAGCCGTAATCTTCAATTGACCTAACTTACCTATAATAACGGTTCTTTGAAGCGCAGAACCTCTTTTGTGCAAACAGTTAAAGTGGAGTTGAGCGAACTTGCCACTGTGGTACTCGAACCTGAATGGTCACACTAGCTGCATCCTCACATGGCCAACCTCATCTGTCCAGGTGGTGTGCCAGGACATGGCTAACATCGCTTACATCAACTATGAACAGTCACGTGGAGCCACGGACGTGAGTTGAGTCAAGTAATGATCGGTGTGACTCGAGATAGCTCAGTGATTAAGGCGCGATGTCTACTGTGAAACCATTTCTGTGGTTCTCGTTTTCTGTGCCACTTGCCTGGAAGTTGGGAAACTTACGGTCCCAGATAAATAATCACGATGACAGAACAGCAATCCAGAGCTGGTGGCACACTTGTCACACTTTCGCCATCAGCTAACTCACACTAGGCTGCCCAACTGACGATAATTTCGTTCTGAGTTGTGTCAAAGATACGAGGTCAGAAATTCAGGGCAAGTTGAATTTCCATTAATTATACGGGGCAGCAGAAGATTGCCAAACTAATCCGATAAGAGATACACAGTGATTCACCACGCTTTAATTACGACAACTTAAAACATCCAAACTGAATTCAGAAGTCGGACGCTGTGAGAAGCCTCGTTTAAGCAAAGCTTATCAAGTGCCACAGTTGGGGTTAGTCCAGCTGCTCGATGTTTCGAGCAGCGCGGATCATGGTGATAATAATAATAACAGTAACAATTAATAGTGATAATAATCGACAGAGACAGCAACAGAAGTGATGAGGCTGATGCTTGACTGTCGTACAGCCACAAAATTTGTCTTACTATATTTGAGACCTTAGAATAAAAGGAAGAGAAAAAAGCAGGTGAGAGAAATGGTCCGGTGCCGATCTATCGAAAGCATCATGAGGTGCCTCCACTCTTAAGCGCTCAGTCACACGATCTGGAAGGAAACTGACATGAGCGCTGCTGACATTGATCAACACCACGGGTGGTCATTACCGGAGGCAGAATTACATGAATAGTGGAACGCCCTGAAACACAACTCGACTTCCGATTTCGAGGTAGAAGATCTTCACCTTGTTCAACTAGGCACGTTCAACGTTAGAGCACTGCTGGAAGCCGTGGTTCGTGTGGCAGCCCAAAAAGCACTGAGGTACGTCAGGTTGATCCAAACAAAAAAACGCAAAAATAGGACTAAAAAGGCCCTAATGAGCCGAATGGGGGAAGACACTCTGATGATAGCAATGAAAATATAATAAACGGCAACTCAGTGAATGGGAGATAAACTGGGAATAACTATTATATCAGGGGTACTGTCTTGAAACAGACAACGTTTGTATTCGTCATGACTGACCGCGGGAAATCAGGAGACTAAAAAATCGCTTACTGTTTTTTTCGCTTCGACAAAATCTTTCCGGGGTTTGGAATCAATGCACTTCAGGAATTTTCGAACTTCCGACTTCGTCCACTTGCTTGAAATCGGTACGTAATTGGGTAGATCATCTACCGCATTAGATACGTTATACCCATGCCAATGGAGAAGAATCATAGCCAACTCTTCCGAGTACCTATGTTGACAAGAGTGGACAGAATGTACGTATTTACACACATGAGGGAGATGCGCAGGTGACGCGAAACATACATATTTCATACACGCTAACGTACTTATAGTAGCTGGCGGTTTTGAAATATTCTTGCAGTTCTTCATGAGCAGGTTGCTTCCTTGGCAACCATAAATTGATCTCTCGGGCAGTTTCTCGTATACTTTCCACTCTGCGTTCGGCGGGGAGTAATTCGGGCACTTCCGCCTGGAAGGCTGGACCAACGCGGGAACAGCATTCTAGCGCGAACAAAATATAATATAATGAAGTTGAGCCGTCGTTAACTTGCATAAAGAATGCAAAAGACCAACTAATAATGAAACAGGGAGGTCAAACATGCGAACAAATAGAAAACGCAATTAATTAACATTATGCAACAAACGTAAAAACAACTGACCTTTTTGATTACGCTGTGTCTTGAGACTTCTCGCCGCTCGTGGCGTGCTCTGTCTGCTCATTTTATACCCAAGAAAAGTGTTCCAGAAATAATCACCACAGGACCAGAATTAACACGGAATCAATATCAAATTTGTGAATTTTTCGAACGGCCTTGAATACGGAGATAAACAAAACCACAGAACTAGATGGAAATCATCCATGTAGTGAATGAACTTGAAGCTCATTGCGGTTATTAGTTCAGAGTGCGTCATTCGTATT